CTTTATATACATACCTCCTGCTCCTGGATCATGTGTCACTTGGTTTCCTTCCAGAGAGGAGGCCATGAGGAAAGCAGGAACTGCACACACCAAGTCCAGCAACGACATGGAGAACCATGTTTATGTCAAAGCCAAATCCAGAGTGAGTAATAACAGTATATACAGTCTTTAATGTAAATACATATTATTCTGCCTCTGAACAAGGTTTTACAGTCGAGCCTGATCCATTTGGACTTACATGGGTCGATATGATACAGTACCAGTCATAGTTTGGACACACCTTCTCATTCAATGGTTTTTTCTTTATTTTTGTCTACGCTGCAGATTAATATTGAAGACATCAAAACTATGAAGGAACACATGTGGAATTATGTGGTAAACAAAGAAGTGTTAAACAAACCAGAATATGTTTTATATTTTAGATTCTTTAAAGCAGACACCTTTTGCTGTGATGACAGCTTTGCACACTCTTGGCATTCTTTCAATCAGCTTCATGAGGTGGTCACCTGGAGGGGTGTTCCAACAGTCTTGAAGGAGTTCCCAGAGGTGCTGAGCACTTGTTGGCTGCTTTGCCGTCAATCTGGGGTCCAACTCATCCCTGAACATCTCAGTTGGGTTTAGGAGGAGTGATTGTGGAGGCCAGGTCATTGACACAGCACTCCATCACTCTCCTTCTTGGTCAAATAGCCCTTACGTAACCTGGAGGTGTGTTTGGGGTCGTTGTCCTGTTGAAATACAAATGCTGGTCCCACTAAGGGCAAACCAGATGGGATGGCATGTCGCTGCAGAATGTTGTGGTAGCCATGCTGGTTAAGTATGCCTTGAATTTTAAATAAATCACCAACATTGAATGAGAAGGTGTGTCCAAACTATGACTGTATATCACAATGATATGTATATTGTCAATGATTGTCAATATCTTTTTTCTGAAGGTCTAAATGTGTGTTGTATTATTTCAGGAGGAGTATCTGTCTCTGGTGGCGAGGTTGATCATACACTTCAGAGACATCCGTAGGTATTTGACCTGAGGTCTACAAGCATTATCATCTATGATCATTTACATGTGTTGACTGACCGTTCATTCTTTACCTTATAATCCAGGCTGATATGAACATAACTGAAAGTTCTTCTAATAATAAATCGTTGTGGATGAACTGACACAAGATCCAGGAAGGACCTCCTCTGTAACTTCTACAGGCACACAGTCGCCCTCATCCAGGATTTGACCTCATCCTAAACATTTTATCATGAACAAGAGATTTGTCTCAATCATGATTAAATGTTGTTATTGCTTAACTGACGCCTTCCTGACATGTTCCAGACATGTTATGCAGGCTCTGTATGTGAGAACAAATGAGTCAGTGTCTCTGGACATGTTCTGGATCTTCTCCTGCAGCCTCTAGTGAAACATCTGGAACCTTCTCAGTGAGCGAGTGGGCGTGTCTCTGAGGTTTCTAACACGTGACGGACGTGAAACTGAAGAACACAAATGTCTCAGGATGAAGAAGAGGAGCCGTACACGTAGAAGACGAAGACGTCCATCTTTACACAGCAGAGTTTAGACGTCATGTCCCGCCTCCTGCTGCTCTACAGGCTCCACCCCCTCACCTGAATGTCCCCACATGTTCCTGTTGTTGTGAACGAGTCGACAATCTGCTACACAACATGTCTACACAACATGACTACACAACATG